AAAAGAAAAAAGAAAAGACAAGAAAACAACAACAACAACAACAAACTTAATAGATAAACAAAAACATGATCAGTTTCAATTGTCTGATCTTTCTTCTTGTTCACAAGTCTAGATTAGTAGATTTTCACATGATTACATAATTTATTTACAAAAAAAACAAAAAAACTCATATTTAGGTTTATACAATTACATATAGAAATAAATTATATAACAACATCATAGGAGATTCATACTTATTATTATTATTATTTGAAGTAACATGGAACTTATAATAAGATACGTATCTGTGCCAATAAACATTGAAATATATTTCTTGTATTTTATATGTGTGTTTTATTTATTTATTTGAACATAGAAATATTAACACAAAGGGGTATCGAATACATATGCGCACCTCACATTTCACTTGATTTGTGTGTGGGCCGGGATGATGCCCGGATGTCCAAACCGAAGTAAGTGATTTTCTTAGGGGACCATACCCAGAGCCTACGACATAAAGGTCTAATCCACAAGGCAATGGAGTAACGTAAGGAGATGCAGTTGCATGATAGCCGGCGCTAATTGTTCCCTCAGAATCCTGGAGTTCATGTGCACCATTAGTTTGAAATGAGGGTCTTCCAACTCCCTTATGTGGATCTATCATGTCCATCGACTCGGTTAAAGTACCGGACATTTGCTTTTCGTCCCTCAATTTCGTAAACAACACACCTGCCTAGAGAAAACAGTGAGAAACACTTACATGATAGTGGCTGTATACGTGAGGTCATGTGAGAGTTCTTATCGGTTTTGCTTCTCGCCTAGCCCTGCCTGTTAAGTCCAGAACACCAGTCTCAGCCTCTGAGATATCAATCATGTATTTCAATCATACTGGGTTTATATACAGGTAAACCAGATCACATCATACCATAAAATAGCAAACAACATTTGTACAAGAATTAGCCAAATGTGGCTGTGAATGAGGGAGGTAGTGATTAATAGACAGAGCATAATTCAGGAATGCTAAATCGTATAATAACAGTTCATAGGTTAAAATAAGGCGCATAATAAGAGAGACATGAATATGTATAGTTTAGTTATTCAACAATTATATGATTAAAATGTACGCATAGTATTGGTCCATAAATGGATCCCGAAAGTTGCCATTCATTATGCTTATCAGGACATAACAGAAATAACATTGACAAGCATCAGAGGACTAGAGTCTAGTAATCTTTATCATATATTCAAGGTTCTAATACAGATTATGATTATATCAACATCGTCTATTTGAAGTCTATATCATTAGACTTGATCATAGATCAGTTTAACAGTTAAATACTTTATAGATTGGCATTGTGTTTTGACTTAGTATAAAACAAAAATGAAATGGACCTTTATTTATGAAAGTGATCTACATATCCATGCTTCACCACTGTGAGCTCCACAATTTACTATTCTGGTTATCATCAAGGTAAACTATGTATCATCATTTTTCCACTATTATTTCATTAACTGATATCTTTTTAACCCATGTCAACTTATTGATTTTTCGCGTTAATATCTAATGCTATTCATCGCCTTTACCGTTTACATGATACGCTATCAATGCTCATAATCATTGTGTCAACTTTATCAATGCACGTTTAAATTACCTTAGCTCACTATGTGTTTCGAGTTCACTGAACTGATTTACCGTACATAATATTTATTTGATATACGCTACCGAAACCCAATAGTCTCTACCGACTTGTTAATAGGAATTGTCGATATTATAATGCGAAACTATAAATTGTTACCATGCTCTGCTCTTCATTGGAGGGGTTGACAGTATTTTGCATAGTTGTACTTTCGTACTTTCTATTTCTTTTTTAATTCTATAGTTTCACGTCAATTGATTTTCTCTATTTGTTTGTCTACTTTCAATGATTTTATGATAGGCAAGTCTTGTTTCATGGAATTATAGAGAATTTAAAGTGAATTATCCAAGTTTAATCGAAGAACTACGTGTTGGCAACTATTTTTTACGTTTATTGCTTGAAGAAGACCGACATGTGAATGAAGTAATTGATGCCATTTATTATTATCATGGGGATATAACACCTCTTTTTTTTAAAAAAAAGTTGTAGAAGTGTTTATTTGGTAAGAATCGAAGTGTACAGAAAATCACGGGTATTTATAGATATTAGCATTTGTGAAATCTTTATGATTCAGCCAATCCGTAAAGGCATATTATGCTATTGTCCAATAGTACCATGCTATGTTGATATTCTAGAAAGCTCTATCATATCCTGATTGGTTGGAAACTCCTCGGCTCCTTTAGGGCCTCTAGAGGCTCCGTTGTAGTTCTCAGAAGCCGACTCAACAGTGTGAAATGAAATGATTGCCAAAACCACTCTTATAGATGTGTAAGGATAGTATACAGTACAACAGCTTGAATAAAAGTGAATACTTCTGAGATGATATATTCACTAAGACAATAAACACCAAGAAACCTGGAAGTTATGTGAGGTCGTTTAGGATACTACTTACAAACATATAAAACCTTGCAAGTGATGATGTTTATAAGTTATTTGAATGTTCTTTATTGGCCTCAAGACAAAAGAACTGATAAGTGATCTTAAAAAAATGCATCAGTAGAGGGAAAGCTATATAATTTGTAATTCACTCTACTTAACATCGTAAGTTGCTCAAATCAGCTTGTTTTCTGATTTATGAAAGTCTTCTTAAGGGCATTTTATCGATCGTTACAGTTAAATTTCACTGTTATACGCACTCTTATTAGTTTATGTAAGTTATTTACCAAGTACACATTTATTTATTGGACTTTTGTGCTGAACTGGGGATCCACCAGTTAGAAGATAATTGTTTCGACAATAAACTTGCATATTCTAGCCATAAGCAATGTTTCGCTCTTTTATCCGTAATGATCTGAAACTTTATATATGTATATATGATCTTAGTTTCTAAAATGAATCTAATGTACGACAACTCAAGTTTACAATGTATTTTCTGATCATATAAGTAGATTACTTAGAGTTGTATCAGGTAATTATTCACCAAATATTTTGTTAGATGATAATAAATTAAGTACTATTACATAATCAAAGTTACGAATATATTCGAAGAAATGATTTTCAGATACTACGGCCTAGGTTTGAACCCCACTCCGCATATATCGGTTTGGGCAATAGCGTAGGTTCGGCAGCCTTTACACTTTAATTATGATTCATACCCAAGTACCTGGCGAATGATATAAATTTTATTTTATCGATTCTGTAGTTGATCAGCGCATTAAGTCTATTTTAATTAGCACATTACCGACTCACACACGACGGTAGACCTTGTTTATTTGTTGCGTGGTGTTAAATCTAAGCGTCGTAACCAGGAACATAATCACTGACGAACAGTCTGTAATCTTTGATAGTGAGTGCTTCAGTTTTTTGTTTCGCAAGACTATGTCTTAAGTGCGCTAATCTGGAATCCTGAAGAGGAACGGAAGCTAGATCATCATGGAAAACCTGGAAGCACTGGATGACCATTTCGTCCTAGTATGGGACTCCTCAGCAGTGCCACCAAATGCCCTGGTGCGGCCGAGAGTGGGGAGAGTCCGCTCTCTATCTCCGGGTTGATGGACACAAAGAGTTCACCTAGGAAAGTTGGAAAACCCTGTTTCTAAACCAATGGCATACATGGTCTCCAGTATCCTGAAGAAACAAATGTCGTATGAACCAATCGTTGGTCACCGGCTACCATGGAACTGCATCTCCTGACGCTGCTCCAATGCCTTGTGGATTAGACCATTAGATCAAAGGCTCCGGGTGTGGCCCCGAAGAAACCACCTGCTCTGGTTCGGGCACCCAGGCAGTATCACAGCCATCACAAAAATCAAATGAGTTTTATGTAGCGCATATATATCTGGTGCCCCCTTGTACCAATATTTGTGTCCAAATAAATAAATAATAACAAACATCTACGATCCCGCTCGCGGGATTTGAACTCATCACCTATCGGTCTCGCGAGCGCGAACGCCTAACCTCCAAACCTCTGAGCGGGTCGTCCAATGCTGCCAGGTTTTCCATAATGGTCTAGCTTCAATTGATTCATGAACTCAACTATTAAATTACTATAATATCCACAAAACCTCTTTTTGATTATATACATATTAGCTAACACAAAATCATCTGAACAGATATGAATTACATGTACTCACACTTACAAATCTTACATCATAATAACTCTATAGTTGAGAAAATTTCTTCTGCTTTGTGTGTAGTTTTAATATTCTAAAGTAATTTCTATCGTAAACTTACATCGGTTTGAGAACCATGTAGAAAAAAGAAAACACAACCGACGTTTCGTCCTAACTTGGGAAACCTCATCAATACTCAATCCTAAGATCAACATAGTTCATTATTAAAACCTTCATGCCTCGTGAAACTCATGAAACCATCTGAGTTGATTGAAATAGGTCTACGTACCCAACTTTAATCAATTCTAGTATAACACAACTCTATGTAGAGCCTTAAGTGTTCAGACTAAGACAGGACACTTTATTTAAAATGTTTTTATAGTTTTCATCACGAACTGACCTTAGCTAAATGATTGTCAAAAACAACTATGTCCTGGTATGGGACTGCTCAGTAGTGTGTATTCAAGACAACCGGGACTTTCAGGCATTCAGGTGGACAACATTTAGACCACTGAACCGGCGTTCACTGATTTATTTGTTTAAGCTATGAATTTCAGTTATTCCTGGTGTAAGGTAGATTTCCACAATAACATTGTACAGTTATTATTTAACACCCTGAAGTGATTACAGTTAAGCTCGTAACCCCCTGGATACCGACTCATTAGTTTAATATTTGAATGCTTGTAACAATTTTACTAAGGTCTTGGGTTCGAACCTCCGTACTGCCGAAGAGTAATACACTAAGATGAAACAGTTGCGTAGGGCTGTTAAGCTTTAAATGGTTACCAAACTAAAAGTTATTTTGTGGTATGAAGCGAAAAATTCCGCAATCTTCACAAATCATCTATACTTATATATACATAAAGTTATGAATCAAAATATAGATGTGTACAGCGGTCTCTGTTGTACCATAGTTAAGATTTCAATATCTCGATGATAAACGTAAAAATATCAAATAGATAGAAAAAGAGGAGAGAACTATGAGATTTCAACAACAACAAAAAAAAAGAAAAAGAAAAGGGAATAGTTGTTTTGTTTAAAACTATCATACAAAATAATGTGTATAAAAGCAATGAGAAATCGTGGAAAAAAAATAGGAGGAAGAATACAATTTAACTGCATAGTACATGATCTAATGTTGTAGATGATTCAAGTGGAAGGATTCCATTAAAATGATAATACACTTTTGTTCGTTCAGTAAGAGTAATATCTTTAAATCCAGCATTCAAGAAACTATCAACAACAACCTTAAAAAGAAAGAAAATAGAATACAGAAATTGTATATTGGTAATGATGAAAATAAGATGCCACCGTCACCCCCCCCGAAAAAAAAATATATTAAACTGTAAAAATTATCATAAGTTAATAATATCGACATGGTATCTTACAAAAAATCAATAAAATGTGAGGATGAGGAATTAAGGGTAGTTAGTAGTAATAAAAAAAAAGCCTAAACCTTTAATGATTTTATATATTGTGAGATATTACAATACGAATTCAAACTTTCAATCCGTGATAAAACCTGTAAATAATTCAACATTATCGACGGTTAACTGACTCGAAAGCTCCTCATTAACTATTCAATCAAAATAAGGATCGCATGAATACCAACGACATCCATCAGGATGAATTTACAACAATTTTAATAGGAAATAGTAACTAGAAAATTCCGACGGTGGCGAGAAAGGGGGTCACGAAAGGGTGTTATTGAGTAGCTTCAATAGTTCGTGAGTTGAGTCAGTTGGTCATCAGCAATATATAACTAGGAACATATATGCACCCGATCAAATTACCACAGAAGATCAATACGAAGAGATAACATTATCAAGATAAATGTAAGAGTAGTAGATATAGTAACAGTATCAGTGGTAGTAAAATACATTAGGCCTAGACAATAGGATTCAGGAAGGAATGCATTAAAGGAATAAAAAACACGAGATGGTTTTAGAAACTCAAGATCTAAAAGAACATGAAAAGTAATTACACTTGCACAAATGAGACCAATCATAAGAAATGTCACATAACATCTCCAACCCCTCAGTCAGTCAGTCGTTAACAACGTAGAACTTCGTACGTACGTAAATCAGTTCGGGTTGCTACACCACATTAGCACAGAGATGCAGTTGTCCATTCAAGTCCTGTAGTGGCAGAGGTGGTAAGAGTATAAGCAGTAATCGGGAACATTTGGGTTTGAAGATGTTATTTAAAGAGTACAGTCCAGTGAAATAAATTTGGAAAGAGAAAAAAAGGGAGGTACGAAATTCAGAAGATTAGAATTTGGAAGAACACAAAGAGTGAATGCGCCTGCGCCATTGCAAACGATTTTGAGCCATATCATTCAGGGTCTCTAACCATCGGTTGCTATCATCTCGCAGTCCCCAACCAGGTACTCTACACCTACCAATATGACTCAGTCTACTTGTCAGTGACTTTATGGACTTGTGCCATGTTACGGTCTGGCCGCCCCTAGCTTTCTTTCAATCTACTCCTATACAACAAACATGGCGCATCGAGGCAGTCGGTAGTTGGGTATACGTAACACGTGTCCCAGCAATCTCAACTGATGAAGTTTCACTAGGTCATCAACTGATTTGCCATCCTTACCTAGTACCCATTTCCTAACAACTGCGTTACTTACTTGATGGTCCCCCGACATACGAGCAATATTTCGAAGACACCTATGATCAAATACTAGTAACCTACGAATATCCTCTACTCTTACCGGCCATGTTTCACTTCTATAAAGTAGGACGGAACGAACTGCTGCGCAGTAAACCGGTCCTTTGGTTGATAGACGGATATCTCGCCTACGCCATAAATGACGCAAGTTGGTAAAAGCTAGTCGAGCCTTCTGTATCCGTGCTGAGATTTCGTCACACACCAGACCACAAGGGCTGATGAGACTTCCAAGATAAGTGAAGCGATCGACACGCTCAATTACTTCACTCCCTATCATTAGTTCGGGTGTCAATGCAACCCAATCCTGAAGCAACATTTTGCATTTCGAGGGAGAGAATCGCATCCCGAACATGCTTGCATTGTTGCTTAGAGTGGTCAGAAGACTCTGCATTTTGTCAGCGTCTTCACCAAATAAAACTATGTCATCGGCATATTCTAAGTCAACAAGTGAACCTCCTGGTAGAAGTTCAACCCCTGGAAATTTAGATGAGGAAAGTGTTATCTCTAAAAGTACGTCAACGACAAAGTTGAACAAGAATGGAGAGAGTGGACAGCCCTGACGAACACCACTTGAGGTAATCAATTCTGATGACAGTTCGCCATAAGCTCTCACTCGACCAGTTGTGTTCGAGTAGAGAGCCTTTATAAGGTTAATGTACTTCTTTGGTACTCCTTTCAGTGACAAACACTGCCATAGAACCTCACGATCAACAGAGTCGAATGCCGCCTTAAGGTCGAGAAATACTACGATTGTGGGGCGTCTGAATGTGTGTCTGTGTTCTAGAACCTGACGTAGTGTGAATATCTGATCTATACAACCACGTCCAGGTCGAAAACCAGCCTGGTTTTCTCTAATCTGCTCTTCACGAGCTTTAGTTAGGCGTCGAAGTATTATTGAAGCTAATATTTTAGACACTATATTAATTAAACTGATTCCTCCGTGATTGTCACAACTTCGTAAAGAGTCGGAGGACCTACATTAACTTGCCATTCAGGTTGACTGGAGATCGTGGGAAACCGAAGTGTGGCTGAAGGCCAGTTGAATTGATCCATGAAGTGTTCTGCCCATCGATCCAATCTCCTGGATTGAGAATGTATAATATGTCTATCTTTCTCTGAGACAGTTTCGCCAACAATCGGGTTCCTAATACCGGTTTCCTTAACAAGTCTGAACAATTGTCTGCTATTACCTATCGCCGCTGCCTTTTCCATCTCTCTTGCCTTCGCTACCGACCACTGTTCACAATCATTGCGTAGGCTTCTTGTCAGCAGACATCACTGCTGTTTCCACAGCTTTTCGGATATCATTCCATGCTGCCTTGGGGTGGACATCACATACATGGCTGCCTAACTGTTTTTCTAGTTGTTCCTGAAATATACTCTTAGCTTGACTATCATTAAGTAGAACCCTAAGAGGTTTCCTTGCAGCGTCTCTCCTACGTCCAGTAAGACGCAGACAAATACGCGCTCGTACTAGAACATGATCTGAATCTAAGCATGTGATCCGGAATGAGCGACAGTCTTCTATCGAACCCCTCCATCGGTGGCTGATAGCGATGTGATCTATTTGGGTCCAATGTTGGGACGAATTCGGGGGTCACCATGTTAAAAGATGTTTTTGCTTATGCTTAAAGTTAGTATTTGCAAGAAGCAGGGAGTTATCTGAGCATAGCTGCAACAGACGATCTTCATTATCTGTTCTTTGAGCCACGACACTATAAGATCTTCTCAGGTGTCTTTCCCTTCCGCTTAGTTTACCTATTTGAGCATTAAAGTCACCAGCCACTATTACTACATCAGAGCACTTAGCTTTTTGGAGAAGGTCGGAAACCTTTCTGTAAAACTCATCTTTAACATCATCTGAGCTGTAGTCAGTGGGAGAACATGCAGAGACGACGAAGGGGCAATGACGAGTGTCCCTATCTTTCCGAGTCCTTACTGTTCCGTTTAGTCGGACAGCGCACATACGACTGTCTACTGGGATCCAGTCTAAGAGAGCAAGATCTGCCCTAGGGCTCAATGCTATACCTACGCCGCGGAGTCCACGAGAAGCAGCATCTGGGCTACCAGATACACGAAGCATGAATCGAGTTGGTTCTTTATTTTGACATGGTGAGGTCAAATGAATGACGCTACTCGGATCCTGTATGCGCGTTTCGGAGACGTAGCACACATCGATGGCGCGAGATTCTAAAGTCCTAGCTAAGGAAGCCAGTTGTCCTATTTGGTAGTGTTCGGGCGTTATAAGCTCCTACGTGTAGTTCAGAGCGTTGTTTCAGGAGACCGGGAATAACGTTCCGCGCACTCGAATCGTTTGCCCTAGCAGTGCGAGGTGATAAAGGGACGTGAGAAGGGTTATTCATGGAGATAAGAGAGGTATTAGGAGGTGTAGGAAGGATTTGAATGTGACCAACTTGGTCTCGTGTGCTGTTACGGGTATGAGGGCTGATGTCACTTCCCGGCTGCCCACAAAGTGGAAGGGTATTTCTCGAGGAGCCTGAAAAGGAAGTTGAATTAATGTTGGCCTTAACGACCTGGGAGCGTGACCGCAGAGCCCAAGGGACAACTGTTTGAGGCCGGTCGCGCACGGCCTTTTTGTGGGAGGATTTTGACGGGTTAGCTCTGTTCTTCAAAGGGCCTTACCGCCGGAGACGGAAATCCGTGAGGTAAAGTGAGGTGTGACACTGTTAGGGTCAACCTTTTCTAACCCCTTCCTTGTGAGAAGGCAGCATCGCTGCAGATGCTGGTTGTCCGAGGGAAACACCTTACTGCCGTCACACCCCTCTACAGTCGGCAGTACGACTTCGCCTTCAGACCTTCAGTTGCTGCTTTTAGTCTTACCGTTCTCCAATCGACCTGCCTGGCATGGTAAAACCTACAGGAACATATGTTCCAGCCAATATAGCTCTGTTGGGTCATCACGATAGGCAAGCCCGACTACTGCGTCAAGGTAGCAGCTACGGTCGAGATCTCCAACCACTGCTTACGATAATCACGCGGAACCCAATCAGGTAACCTAGGCCATGACACCACTTCTTAGTTTGGCCGCCCCTTTCTTCACTCTATGCTTGGGCAAGTGACCATCATGTGTCCTGGTAAGTTGTGTTTAAGCAAACATTATAAATGACCCAAACCCCTCAATCGACGAGGATTCACTACCTCGTTAAACAGTCTGCCACCTTTATCTAGTATCCTGGATCTAACCTCAGGAGTGATTAATTGATGGTCCCAACATATGCGAGCAATGCTTCTAATACATCAATAATCAAATAGTAATATCCTCTATTTTCAAAAGCTAAGTTCCCCATCCATATGTTAATACATCTCGAAATTATTCTCCATAAATCATTTAACCAAACAATCAAAATAATTAGAAATAGATTTTGTACTTTTACTTACCTCCTTAATTCCATCTAAAACAATGATGAATCGATAACGCTGTTGTAACAACGGCCAAATAGTACTAGCCATAAGAGCTGTATTAGCAAAACTAAATACTACCATGTCTGCATCTGGTAGTGTCTCTACATCATCCCGATTATTAAAACGTGAACTTTTAAACCAAACAGACACTTGATATTCAGATGACCATTGACGATCAAAAGCAGCTAGATAATTGCCCCATCCAGCACATTGATCAATGGCAAAATAAATAATACGTTGAGTGAAGCCACGACAACGTGCATATGCCAAATAAGCAGCTATATCTGGCCCGGGACCAACACCAATACTAATAATACGACTAACATGATCCCGTAAATAAACTTCAACGTCTGGATTTTCCGGTATAATTCGATAGACTAAAGCCTAAAGCGTAAAAATGAAAGAACGAAATCGAACTCATTGATGAAAAACAATGAATACATTTATTAATGCACATATGATTATGTGTAAATATTCAACTCTTACCTCCTCTACGTTCCAGATTCCAGCCTTAATACACTTATTCTAATGACGTAAACAGATCAGTAATGTAAGCCTTGATAGAGTAAAGGAGGACAAACGTTGAATCCAAGATTCTGTATTAGCAACACTCAGTGGTTGTTTGAAATATATCCATAACCCTTGTGTACAGTAGTCAGGAACAACAACTTCCATTGAATATTTCACTTTTTGAAAACTAACAAACGGAATGAAGCTATAAACGATACGATAATAGATGTTGCCAATATTAATGATATTACATACATATGTATCATCATACTTGTATACATGATACATGAAACATTTGTAAACAATAATATATTGTTTATTATTATGTTTACTTTTAACAACTTCAATGATATCTTATAAATGTTGACATGTCATATTAAGTAGATATGTGTAACTTTCAACATAAGTATTATGTTAACAATAGATTCCTGATGATCTTATTAAAGGTTTACTTAGAAATGATTGATTCACTACAGCTTTATGGAACTAAAAAGTACCTAACTACTGCATGTATAAGTCTGCTGGTTTTCTTAAATCCTTAGTTCACTGCAACAAAAACCACAATGTTCATAAAAATAAACAAAAAAAAACCTCATTTAAAAAGATTGTACCTTTAAAAATTAATGGATAGATAGTTGATATAAAGGAAAATCACATTTATTTATTTATTTATTTGAAAATAAAGATATATTTGAGTTGCTTTTACCTGAAGGAAACTTGTAGAACTATTTATATAACGTTGTCGAGTATAAGTGGCACGAAATGTATCGTTATCATAATAAGCTAGAAGGCATTCTTTACGACGTATTTTACCTGGTAAAATAAAAAAAAAACGAAGAATCCTAGAGATTTAACCAATTTATAGAACTATATGAAACAAGAGGATAGAGAAGTATAACAGTTAATAAAGTTTTATTTGTAGGATTTGTATCAATTAGAGACTAAACATAAAATATTCTGCTCCCAAAAAGTGGGGAAAGTTCGCTCTCCCCCTCCGAATGATCTCAAATCGACACGCGTATATGGCCTCTGTCAGGGAAGTTCTATTCACTGCCTTCAAGCGACATCACTGTTTACGAAATTGAGAGGACGAAAACCGAATGTCTGGCGCTTTAACCGGTTTGGTGGACACATAGAGTTCACCTAGGGGAGTTGGAAAACCCTCATTCCAAACTAGTGATGCACATGGGCTCCAGGATCCTAAGGAAACAAATGACGTATGAACGAACTGTTGGTCACTGGTTACCATGGGACTGCATCTACTGACGCTGCTCCACTGCCTTGTGGATTAGACCTTTAGATCAAAGGCTCAGGGTGTGCTCCCTAAGAAAACCACGTGCTTCGGTCTGAACTCCAGGGCAGTATCATAGCCCACACATAAATAAAGTGACTTGTGTGATGCATATGTATTCGGTGCCCCTTTGTACCAATATTTATATGTTCAAATAAATAATAACTGCGGATTTTGGGTAGGATCACCCATTATTCGATTACTTTTAACAGTTAATTAGTTAGATAGCAACAAATGTCAACTTAAATTATGATTATCATGACATGGCTCTCCTCGTGGAAGTGGCCTGGTCAGTAAAGCGTCTGACGTCCAGTGTACAGGCGACACTATCTTACTGAGCAATTATATACTGATTGCATAAATAACGTTTAGTCAACCAGTAAAAAGTTCACACGGTACGCACTTTATACCAATAAAAGAATTGAGAATTTTCAATTATGTTTACTCTAGATAGTGAACCATTGGGAAATGTAAAATATAGTAAGTCATAGGTAGTTTGTAATATTGAAAGGAGGATGATATGACTTCTCCGTGCAACAAAAGCCATGGTAATATACACAAGTCTAAATCCCTTTACGGTAGTAACAACATTAATTTGGCCAGAAAAGGTAATTTTATGCATTACTTTGCCTTTATGAACTCTAAAATCGACTGCTAGTAAAAATAGAGCCTGTAACGCCAGATCAAGATGCATATAAACGGTTTTAAGCTAGAAACCAAATGACTAAAAGGCAATTTTCCAAGTCAATAAGCCACAACATTGTAACGTTTGGGAACATTCCCCGTTGTTCATCGACATGAAGTTATCTTACTACAAATAGATTAATGATCTGAATATATATACTATGGTAGACTCAGAACTTTCATATCCATTGTTTTCTGTTGCATATATATAGTCAGGGTGCACACGAAAAATAAATACAAAATTGAGTTTTAACAGTATTACCCCATTCTCTATAGAGACTTTGACCTCGTTGTTCACGATCGGATTTAAGTGTAGAGTTAAGTAACTTCTCTATTGGTTGATATAACTCCATTATTCGTTTGACTTCTTGAGCAAATTTAGCTCGTCTCTGAACACAGTTCTCCCATGCAGACCGGAGCTCTACATCTAACTCATCATCAGCAAGCTTTTGCTTTAAAAATCTCTCCCACCATGCCTCAACAGACTCATCCGACTCATTACTCCCAGCTTCCAGTGTTCCCGTCATGAATGCACAATCCTGATTAAAGAAACAAGGATTAAGAAAACAACACGAACGATATAATGGACTTGTTTTATTTATTTGAACACAATCATTACTACAAGGGAGCGTTAAATACATAGCAATGGGGATTTGATGAGATAGAGAACACCCAATACGTAAAAATGTGATTCAATTTTTCCGTGTTATGTTATTCTGCAGTTGTACATTCTTGACTTTTTCAGTGTATATATGGCCAGCATTTTCATCGATAGCACAGTTGTTTGTCTGAGATAATGTATAGTTTGTTTCAGCTCAATTATTACTCTGACATTATTATTATTATTATTATTATTATTATTATCAAATTCTCTCCAATTTGGTAGGTATAGTTGGAGTTAGTAAACGATGGAACATGTATTTATTGAGTTTCATTCTCACTCTCCCTGCTTCGGTTTAGGCATCTGGGCATTATTTGGTGCTTCCCTGTATCAATGTTTATGTGTTCAAATAAATAAAACGTACCATATAAATGCCAGAATACATACATATATATGATAAGATAGTCGGTTACAAGTGAATCAAAAATGTGCGGTCGAACACAACGACCTATATTTGGTAAACGAGTTACATTAATTGAGTCGTCCTAAAGAATTAGGCATCTTACTGTTCAAACTGTATACGATGCATAAAGGCTTACAAGTTTATATATCTCTGAACCCCGAGAACGAATATTACAATACTTTAATTATCTACTTTGGATCCAGAAAGCTAGTTACCAGATAAAGAACACCCATAGTGTGGGATTCAAAAGCAAAAGTTCTCAAAACACGGTCACCTTTATAAATCATTCGCTAGTGACTATTATATTAGCATAGAGAAGAATCAGATGCATGCGGACATTTTACCGACTGATGTGGAATAATTTGATACGTGACACTAGAAACAGTCACTCAGTAAGTTACAACGTAGAACCTGCATATATATATATATATATATATATATATATATATATATATATATATATATTCCTAGTTGACTGAACTATAACGTTAACTATCAGTGAATGACATCCTATATCTATTCTGTAAAGCAATTAGAAAATATATAGATATAGTTTTACAGAAAACATGTTTAAAAAACTAACTTTATGTTTATACACAGGAGAAGTTAATTAGGGGTACAGAGCAGCTGATCAAACTGTATGATGCCTTTCGGTCATAACAATGTAAAACAGCTTTGATGAAAGGTGGCACAAGTAAGAACGAAAGTGGGAACATTGTGATAGGAATTAAATCCGTGAATTTAGGTTAGTCGGTGTAAGAAATACACAGGTCAAGAAAAACCAATGGAATGAACAAAATTCGTTTTAAAAAACCGCAGTGCTTATTACTTCCTCGTATTTGTAAGCCTTGTACACAAATTTGGACCTTTACATTCAAAGATCAAAGTTCGAAATAAGATTGGATGTTTTGATTACAAACAGATGCACAGGGCTGATGTAGAAGTTAAAATTTACAGCAATATTCTGACCACTTCGAATCATTGGCTATAAGAAACCAGACAAAGGATTTCAAAGGCGAAAGTTTCGACTAAAGACTGAAAATAAAATCTCCGGAATGTTACTGGAAATGAAAAAGGTCACAATGTCAACAACATATGCTGTTGACTAAGCTGTTCGAATGATTTACATAGGGTGGTGAAGCGTGATGGAAGTGATAGGAGACTCAGTGGATAGATACGGATTTTAAACCACGCTTAAATGAAGGTGCTTTCAAATAAGCTATGTCGTGAGCTTGAGTTAGTGTTAGCATACAGTTCCATCACATCTCGAATTCAAGATGTATGACATCAGATCTCATATGTTCATATATCGTACATAATTACATTAAGTCAAATCTATCATGGATATATTTATATATAGATTACTATATGATAATCAACAGTTACAACTAGCTAGGTTACAAATCTTATCTTGGTGTGTATTGTATCTAAATCCCAATCTCCATACTTTGGTGAGAATTTTAATCATTTTGTGGAAGTCGCTATAAATAATTTTGGGTAAACGACACAAAAACCCCAAAAGCTTCCCCAGGTTCGAGGAAATTTCCCCAAAATTTGGGAAAGCTGCTAAGTGTTATTGGGAAAAGCCCGAAAATTCCTCAAAACAGAGAGAACGAGATGATAGTAGGTCCCGATCCCCCGATTTTGAACAAAATTCGAGATTTTCCACAAATACGTAAGAAAGTTGGCAGTTTTTCACGAAGTTTGGGGAAAAACCCCAGTGTTATAAAATTCTGGAGATATTTGTCGAAAACTTTAGGGAATTTCCCCAAACCTGGGAAAATTTTGGGGTTTTGTAACATCTCCACAAAAAGACCGAGTTTTTATTGCGGCTTCCCCAAATCTACCCTAAACGGACAAAATTTATTTCAAAAAAAGAGGATCGGGTTAAATGCATATATCTAGTGTTAAAACAGTGCGGATGCCATGGATTAAATGTAAATATTTAGCTGGAAAAATCTGTAGTCTTCTGAAAAAAGTGGTGTTAGACATTCGGCTCCGTTAAATCAACTCAGAAAGTCTCCTACTTGAAAAATGTGGAATTACATAAAAGGCGCGTATACATACCTGGTCACGACCTTCGGTAGGACAAAACGGCTAACACTATCCAATATTGCTACATGGTTTGAACTAGTTGATTTCTATACCCCTGGATCTTCAGGCTGTCTCAAATTTTTAACTATGTCAAAAGAAGTTTATTTTAGCCACTAAGCTGCACTATTTCAAGTTGTGAATATTAATGTGTTTAATGTTTCCATTTTACTCCATTGTCTCACAGCAATATGGTATTTCTGGGATCAGTGAAGATCACATGTAATTTCCGCATCTGTCTTTTCAGACGATAAGCAGTGTTGTTTCTTTATGGTTATCTCGCATCCTTTTAAAACAGTCTACTGACTTGAACATCTGGTCTTACTTGGACCAATATAAACTGATTTGTAATCACAAATGAATGCATTCTACTTCTGCCCACATAAGCCTTGTTTCATAAGCCAGTACCGCTTTGCATAGCGTTTCTCGTCACTTGCTTCCAAATACTCATGTCTTTTATCCCAGTAATGGAGATGGAGTGGCATTGGACAATAACCACACAATCTTCAAAGCTGAATACGAGATTGCTCGGAAAATAGATATTCAATAGTTAACGCGGATAAATACCTAACAATGGAGAAGGCGCGAACAATGAGTTGAATGAATTGGAGTTGATCGAATGGCATGGCTCGGCCATGCAGGCGTGGTCCCTTCTGAATATTACCTTATGTCTTCTATTCATATTAAATATATTGTTCCTTCTCTATCCTAGCCTTGTTCTTCATCATGTGTTGGTAGTTGTTACGATACAGTGAGTTTGTGTAGACGATGATGTGACTTCCACGTAAGTTCTTATAGATTAGGCAATTATATCATGATAAATCTACAATTTTAGGATTAGGTCTATTCTTAGGGCAGTGCTAATATCATAGTGGATCACAATTCTACATTGGTAAGCCCGACTGAAGAAACGCAACCTATTATTGTTAATCTTATTTTCAATTTAACTTGCGAGATCCATTTTATATTTATGTTTACCCAATATTCTAATAGTCCTCTGATTAATGCTCACATGTATTGTCGTAATGTTATATTGATTAGTTCTCATAACATACTAGCTCAATCGATATTAAAAACTGGTCGTCTATATCAACTAATTAGCTTTGATGGTTCGTTAACAAGCTTTAATAGCATTTACATGCTTCAGCGACATAGTCTTGTTTAAACATCAAGCTCTAGCAAATATGAACTGTAAATAGTGTAAATACACATCGACCTACAATGCAATCAAGGACTAAATAGTTATAATAATAATAATAATTTATTCTCAACAGTTTGTTACATGAGGCATGCCAGTTTACAGGCAAGATCAAATTGATACAAATGATACAATATTCACTGTAGTAAATTACATAGCTGGGTTGATAATTTATGAGATATGAATGTAGATGGTTTTAAGCAGTTCTACAGTTAGCGCGCTTCATGAAAGTTGCGTTGCGAATGTGCGACTGATGGTCAAGGATAGGTCCATTGAAGGTATGAGCTTCTAGAAATCGCAACCTTATGTCCCTTTGGAATATCCAAGGCTTTAAGGATGGTGCAGGATGAAGTCACCCGTTCCATATCTCAAGGGGGCTGAAAGAGGGAGCAAGTAAAAGAAAACACGAGAGGCAGAGTAGCCAATATTCATGAAGGAATGCTTAAGGTATGATTACTCAGTCTAATTTTCTTTTATTAAGGTATTTGTTAAGAAAGAGCATTTTAATAGGTTAAAGAAAATAAGTGTTAACAAGGTGTGAGTGGACATACAACTGACAAATGGAGGCGATTCGTAAAGGAGCTGAGAGTATGGGATTATGTGTAATTATAAAATAAAATATAGTGCTAGAAACAGTATTGTGATATACAATTGGCTATCTTCCTTTTATTATCGAAGCTATTAGAGCCCCTTTCGTTTTTTTTGTATTAATATTTTTTTCAGGTATTATAGGGTCTTGAGTAGGCTTCGTATATTAGCGAATTGTCTAGTTTGCTTGTAATAGGATTTCTGGGTAGGAAGTGAAACCAATTCAACGTTCGTAACACGATTTAAAGAGGTATTTTGCGTGATAAATCAGCATCAATACCATAAGTTCGTGACATCCCACTAAAACATAAGGAGCCGTAATTAAACAAAATGTTCTGCCCTACAGACATGGGTGGATTGAAGTTATCTCCCCACCTTCATGTTTGCTGGTCAGTAACGCCACCCTCCCTCCTTTTGTGATGTTAGGCTCTCTTACGTTTGTGGTAAGTATGATTAATGCTTTAATCAAAGTACATAGTTGGAATACACTGTCTCTACTAGGTCCATGTTACAAGCAAATCAGATAGTTGAAAAGTCTGTTTTATGGGTTAGATGTCCATATAGTATATCACACTGCTATGAAAATAACTAATGGTTTAAAGAAGTAAGGACTAATAGCAAATCAAAAGATATGAGAGGGTATAAAATTGTAGAAAGAAAAAAAAAGATTTCAGGGTAAGACAAATAAAACATTGAGAAACTCACAAGACTTTGTGGCCAAATTTTGAGCTTTGTATGATCGGCCTTAGTAGATCAGCATCCATAAGGTTGAGCTATCTGTCTACTTGCAGTAGAAAAAAAAGCATGACTTTTAGGAAGAATAATGTACATTTAACCTGTAGAGATTTGGGGACTGAAAGCTAGGGTTAGGAGCATGAAGTCATGATTAATAAACAATGAATAATAGGAAAGGATAAGCCATATATTCTGTGATTTGGTTATATTCATATTAGTAACAGTCGAACTTGTTATAATTTTGTTCTTTCTAGATACTAGGCGGTCCGTAATAAAGTGCCTCATTGGTGGGCGGGAGTTCAAGGAAATGTTGAAGCTCTTTGGAGTCTAGAAATAGGGTTATTAGCTTTTTGAATCTGGTAAACGTATCACAGTTACGGATAGGCATTGGCAGCCTGTTCCACAATAAACTGTACCGTACTGTAAAAAACTTACAACGCATTTGTTTTTGGTGTTTTACGGTAAGTAGTGTATATGCGTTGTTTCTAAGTCTATAGGCTGGGTCGTGGGTGATAGTCGGGCAGGAGGTTAGAAAGGAGAGCCCATATATCGCTTTGTAGAGAAATATTAAATTGTTTTTTAGCCTACGGTGCCATAAAGGTTCTAAAGATAGATGCTTACATCTTTCTGTGTAATCGAGATTCGAGTTACATCCTAGTAGTTGACGTGTGAAACGTCTTTGAACATCTTCTACTCTTATCTTGTCTGCGATATTCATATTAGAGAAGACAAAAGAGCAGTATTCAAGGGAGGGTCGTACACATATTTT